TGAGTAATATTCTGTGTGTGTGTGTGTGTGTGTGTGTGTGTGTGTGTGTGTGTGTGTGTGTGTGTGTGTATACACACCACATCTTCTTTATCCATTCATCTGTCGATGGACATTTAGGTTGCTTCCATGTCTTGGCTATTGTATATGATGCTGCTGTTAACATAAGGGTGCATGTATTTTTTCAAATTTAGAGTTTTCTCCAGATATAAGCCCAGGGGTGGGATTGCTGTATTATATGGTAAGTCTGTTTTCAGTTTTTTATGGAATCTCTGTAAACTTCAATTAAAAAAAAGCACTTTGATGAATATACATGTTAGACATGTACAACATTTGAAATTTCTTTCTTTTTTTCAAATTTCAATATGTGTTGAACAGAACAGACTCATCTGCAAGCACTGTTATGTACTGAGGTTGTAGCCATTAAAGACACATCTCAGCCCTTTATACAAACTACCTTCAAATTATCCAGATGCTTAGTTTTTTAGAGAAGATAACTGACCTTGACTAAGCATATTGTGGGACTTCTGTGATTGTGCACCAGTCACTAATAGTGAGTGTAGTTCTTCTGTTCCTGGTTTTATTGATGTACCTATAGGACTTAAAACCTAAAACATCCTGAAAAACTTTCACCATCCTACCAAAATGGACTAGGAATGGTGTCAGCTTATACTGTGCTCTATTCAGATGATTTAAGTCATAATAAAACCTAATGTCCAACAGTCTGAACCGAGGACCACAACCTCTGGTGCAGCCCCACATCTGCTGTGAACCTTCTCAAACCACAGCAGGACCGAGCATCTTCCCCAGAGGCCCTGAGCCAGGAGGTGGGTCTTGGATAATAGCTGAGCATCAGCTTCTTTTCTTTTAATTCTGTAAGAGATGTTGATATCAAAGACTAAGATTCACTGATTTCAAACTCCAGTATTAAACCACGGAAGTTAATTTTGGCAGGTAGGTGAATGTAATTTCCTGTTGCAACTCATATATCAATCTACCATTGTCTCCCCTGAACTGTCCCCTAATCGGCTTCCCAGAATACTTGGGCCTCCTTCCAATGCATCCTTCATATTGTAGCCAGAATGATCATTTTTAATTAAAATTATTATCATATCATCTTCCCTCAAACCCCTGCTTAAAATACTTTAATGTCTTCCCATTGCTTTTAGAAGAAAGATCAAAGTCAGAAACTTGGCCCACAAGTCCTAAAATGTCATTTTCTCCCCTCCAGTCTAATTTTACATGATCCTATGGTGTCTGTATTGACAGCTTCTTTTAACTGTGCCATCTTCCTTCTGCCACAGGGCCCTTGCACATTCGGTTCCCTCTGTCTCCATTACCTGGACTCCTCACCTCCATCTCACTCACTCATGTCTTTTGTTTGGTCAATCTTTTTTTCCCTTTAGGCCTTCTCAGCTCAGTTATCACTTCTTCTGGGAAGTCTTTCTTGAAGTTCTCAACTGGGTCAGACTTTCAGCTCTCTATCTCTTCCTATCGTATAAGCTTACAACACCAGGCACCTCTCTTTCGTATTATCCCCAAAATAACTTTTTATTTATTTGTGCGATTATTAAAGTCCGTCTGTCTCACCAATAATCTTTTTGCTCATGAAAGCCCAGACCACATCTGTTTTGTTTGGGTGGTTATAACTTACTTAATAGTGTTTTCCCATTTAGTGCCTGACACAAGATGGACACTCAATAAATCTCTGTCGGTTGTTTGAATGAATAAACGACCAGAAGGCCCACTAAAGCAGGGCAGGCATGCCTAATCAAGGTGGTCTCGGACTTAGGCTCTCTTTCCTTTGCCCTGTCTTTTGTTCTCTAAAAGGAGTTGATATCCCTGTCTGGGATGGTAATTGCAGCCCAGGGAAGTCAGAGGCTGATGACAGATGAGCCCCAAAGTGATGCAGTTACAGCTGTGTTAGACTTTCTGAACACCTGAGAGCCCCTGAGGCAGTGGCACAGGATCCAGGTTGTTCCACTGGCGTGGACAGAGCTACACAGCGAGGATGAAACCTTGCTCCTTCAGCTGTCAGACTTACCCCTTGATGCTCTTGAATCCAAGTCAGGGCACCAAGCCCGGAGGTTCCAAGGTGGGCTCTTCATGCCCAAACCTAGGGTTGGCTGGCAGCCACTCTGCTGAAAACCCAGGAAGCCTGGGAGGAAACTGACCAGAAACAGAATGAGAACTTGATCAGTCCAATTTGGTTGTCCAAATGCAGAGCCAGTCAGCAAGACTGGTTTGACATTTATATTTATTAGTGAAGGGAATTCAAGCAATTGCACAACGTCTGGGCTTGTGAATATTTGTTTTGTAATTTTGAATAGTTTCTTTTTCCTCCCCTGGGGGAGGATTTTTGCCCATGGTCTTCCTGGGAGTTGGCTGCCATGCCCCCCCCCCACACACACACAATGCTTGGCTGCGCAGAGATCAGAAGAATAGGTCATGTAGATGCATAGGGTTCGAACTGCTTTTCCTTTCCCTGTAAATTAATCTTTTAAATGTCAGCATTTTAAACTTGCCCTTTTCAAAAAATATGATACCGTGTGAACCTTACTTAATTGAAAATACATTTCTAGTTCAAAGGTTTTTTGTTTTCTCCTCCCCCTCCCCCTCCCACAAAAAAAGGGACAGACTAACAAAACAAACAAAAATCCTGTTAAAGGATGGGCTGTATGTGAGGGAAGCTGGTTTTTATCAATTCTTCTAAGAAACTTTGTTAAGAATCTCAACTAATTCCACAGACTATTTTTTGTTTTTACATGTCAGGGATTCTATAAAGCAGACTATCTTCCCCTGCCTACCTGTGGGAAATGTGGAATCATACGATTCCTATCAACCTTTAGAAGAAGATATAGCGGGTCTTTTACAGCTGCTTTGTTTTTATAGTCATTCGTGTTGGTATCAGTTTTTACAGGTTACTGATTACTCATATGTCTTTTGTAACAGGCCTTTGAGTTAAGACAGTAAGGTGTTAATATGCCTAATTCACAGATTAGGTAACTGAGGCCAAAGGCAGCTGAATGACTTGCATGAAGTCATCCAGCTGGTTAATGGCACAGTAGGATTTGAGCCTGGAGGAGATGTCAGTGCTTTACCCACCTATGACACGTGAAACCAAGTCCAGAGCGAGAGATTCAGATCCCCAAACTACCACTAACTAGCTGTAGTGACCTTGAGCAAATGGTTAAACCTTTCTAGACATTTGCTTCCTCGTCTGTAAAACGAACAAACGTTGCCTGCTTTTCTCCCCAGACTAAGATTCTGTGAAGAATAGAATGAAATAATTTTGACAGTACAAAATGCTGAAAAAGAGAAGAATTAACCATCATTATCTAAAATAATAATAAGGTTGAGTCCGATATCCTATCAGGAAGGAAGCAAGGTGTCTCCTATCCTTCCTCCGATGTGGTTAGGGGAGCAGAAAAAAAGGGATTCAGGGGTCCTAAACACATGGGCAGAGGTCCCTGACCATGTCAGGTAGGCTGAATTTTTAAAACTGTGTATGTCCACCTTTCTGTAATTCATGTGGATGATAAGACCAAAAACACAGCCTTCAGAGGAACTGAATATCGAATTGGTGCTGATCAGCAAACACTTAATTTTCCAAACCTTGAAACTTTTGGTAGTCAGTGCCCTTCAGATTTGGAGAGCATCCATCTTACTAAACTCCTGTCTGCCAAGAAGTGTCCTGGGAATTCTGTCACACACATTCTCCCAGCTGTAGGAGGGAGCTGGGGCTGCCGTTTTCCCTGAGCCCGGGACCGGGACAAGCCCCAGCCCCTGGAACAGAAGCAGCCAAGCACCGACTCCCCTTCCTTTGATGTTGGGCTGTCTTCCAGGGTGACGTCCAGAGGACCCTCATCCAAGTGGACTTCGGGGATGGCATCGCAATGTCCTATGTCAACCTCAGCTCCATGGAAGATGGGATCAAGCACGTCTATCACAACGTGGGCATTTTCCGAGTGACCGTGCAGGTGGACAACAGCCTGGGGTCTGACAGCGCCGTCCTGTACTTACATGTAACTTGTATGTTATTACTGTTGTTGGTTTATGACCTATTTTAAATATTGTGTCCCTTTAAAGTACATCCCCAAATTTTTGATCTAGAAGAGGCTCCCTAGTTACCTTTTAGCCAAAGGGGAAAGGAGAGTAAGAGGACCAAGTCGGGAGAGAGTCAGAAGAAACCAGGGAGTGGTTTTGAATCATCTGGGCTCTGGGTGGCTTCAGGTGGTTGTCGCGCTGGCTGTGCCTCTCCAGGTGCCTCTGAGAGACCACACCTATGTCTGTCTGAGCAGCTTGCCGATTGAATATGAATTTGTGGGGTTTTTCTGGGTTTTTGGTCAGAAATGTTTGAGAACAACCCACATTAGCACAGGAGATGGAATTTCTCCCCCTCTGACTACTTTTTCTCTTCCCATGTTATATAGCTCACTGTTAACAATTCTTTTACACTTTTGTTCCTTTCTTTTTTTTAAGTGTGTTTCCTGCACTTTGATCTGTGATGACTTGGTCTTTTAAGGAGAAGGTGGTATGGAGGGAAAGAGGGTCGGCAATGTTAAGGAAGCTGCCTTAAAAAATAGTTGCAAGAACTGTTAAGGTTTTTCCCCGGTGAGGAATTCAAAGATGCCCTAATGAGACAAAGGTTGACTCCTAAGCCACGTTTGGTAAATATGTTCGCCCTGAATACCTCTTACGCTAGGTGTGTGCATGTCCCCAAACAGGCATACGGACTTGCTTCGATTGCTAGAGAAATGGTTTACTTTTAAATGAAAGTTAGCTCCTTTCTGTGAATGGTCATGTTCAGATTTCAGTTTCTAGACCAGGAGCATGAAGGCCGGGCAGTACTCCATGCCTCTCACGTGACCCTTGCCCACTGAACCAAACAGCCCACAAGGTACCAAGCTGAATCTCTTGTTGCGCTGCTGCTGCTGCTGTGGTCCATTGGGAGAACAAGACTGTTGAAGGGTCCCCAAGAGATTGACTGTTACTGAGGTTTCCTGCTCTATCAGTCATTCTTTTTTTAAAAAAAAAAAGTTTGTATTTAGGTGGGGAAGGAAATTAAGTTTATTTATATATTCATTTTTTTTAAAATGGAGATACTGGGGATTGAACCCTGGACCTCGTGCATGCTAAGCACACGCTCTACCACTGAGCTGTACCTTCCCCCTTATCAGTCATTCTTGGTCCCCGTCTCCTGTACTCTCTGGACCGAGATGCCTCAAAGAGACGCACCTGTCCTCCTTTGGGTTTAAACTAAGTTCTATAGGATTCCTGGTATGCCAACTCCACGTCCGCTTTTCACCTAATGATTTTGAGCTCTTCCTGTTTACCAGGCTTTGTGCTAATAAACAGGTCCTTTATGTATGTAAGCTTCCTTTTCAAAACAGCCCTAGGAAGCAGGCACTATTAGAAACCACACTTTACAAAACACAGTGAGGCTCAGAGAGCCTAAGTCGCCCGTCAGAATCTGCAGGGCTGCTGTCTGGCAGAACCAGGCTTCAGACTCGCGTCCACCTGTGTCAGGAATCCCAGCTTCTGATGACTAAGTTGTTGTCAGCTCCATGTTGGTTTGGGGTTAGTGGAACCAAGTCTCCATTGGCCCTCGTTCCCCTCCACGTCTTTGCCGACCACCCTGAAGGAATGGGAACACTTAGATCAGAGGCAGTGTACTTGCTGCACAACTACCTAGGTTCCAGAAAGTTTCACAGGCTCTCGTCCTGCTGACGGCCAGCCCTAAGGTGTCCTAGATAGACTTTCTGGAGTCGCCTCTTATTAAGAGAGGCTCCTTCCCTGTACATCAGTCGTCATGCAGGCAAAAGTGATGCTATCCTAGGAGTAATCATATTTTAAAAACTTGTCACAAACACTGGTTATTAGTAACAAAAGTGACTTGCAACACAGATAATAGTACATTTGCTGAGAATGGCCTCCCTTGCAGTTTACCTTTTTCCACAGCTTATCCTGTAAGGGGCTTTTTGTTGGCGACCTCCTCTCCTTAAGAATTACAGTCGTTGTATTCCATATCCCATCTGTGTATTAAACAGCCCCGTACGCTAACCACGTGTAAACAGTGGTTTAAAATTCAGCAGTGGGTTTGCCTCAGTGTCTCAGGGTCTCCCGTAGAGTCATCCACAGCTTCCGGCCCTGGTGGCCTGGTGGCCTCTTCCCCGCCCTTGCGGGCTACCTCCCTACCCTAGCCCTCTCCCACGTGTACTGAATCCTGGAAAGGAAGACGGGACACAGCTTGCCTGGGCTCAAGATTAAGGGTTGCTGAAGCCAAGGCTTTAGAAAAAAAGGCGCTGCTTTGTTCGCTTGCAGTCGCTTCATCTCATTAATCCGGTTGAATGGCTAAACGATTTTGACCTTAACCTCAAAGGCAGATGATTTGTAGTGGAAAGTTTTGCGTTCTGGTTTTAATTTTGACAGATGCTTCTTGGGTCCAGCAGTTGGATAAGCAAGCCTCACATCATAGGACTCCTTCCTCAGCCTGGCCTTGGGGTCAGGAATTAACTTTCTGTACTAAGTATATGAAAGCGGGATTATTTTTCAAGTTTTCATCAGCGCACCTACATCTGAAAACCATGGCCTCGGCAGGTTCTGACCCGTTTGCTAGGGCTTCTCTCCTGAAGGACCCGTTGTGCTTTACTCTGCATAGAACGTCTAGGCTTATTCTCACACCTCTGCCGTGATGGGCAGCCTCTGGCCTTCCTTTCAGGCAGGGCAAACGAGGATTAGAGAAGTGCTGTGATTTGACCATAATTTTACACTAAGAGGAAGTTGCAGTAAAACCATAATTGACTTACACTCCTCAAAATCGAAGCTTGGCCGTTTTCAGTGCCACCTTGCCAGCATCTGGAAGGGATCTCTGGCTTTGTGGGCAAGACAAAAATAAGCAGTGGACTGAGCTGGGACTTGTGAGGTTCAGATGCTGGCCTGAACTCCTGGCCAAGTCACTCCATTTCTCTGAAACTAGTCTTTCTCCCCAGTCATGTGAGGAATATGCATCTTGCTTCCCAAAGGTTCTGTTGTGCAACTGCCGCTGGGCCCTGTCCACTAGCCCAGCTTGATTTCCCATCATCACAGTGTAGCACGTGCATTTGTGCTTAGTGACTTCTGAGTAGCAACTCTCAGTTCTGTTTGCCAAGCCTGCCCTCCACCCACTCAACCCATCCCCCTCCCCTGGCCCAGGGCTCTTCCAGAAAGCCCCACACTTGTCTTGAGCACACTGCCTCCACTTCCCCGTTCAGAAAGGTGCTTTGATTCTAAATCAGAGGTTCTTAAATAGTGGTTTGCAAAAGGTCATCAGAAACGAGTGGAGAGAATGTTCCTGCTGTAAGGTTTCCAGGCTTGGGCCGCTCTCACGGGGCAGCTGGGTACTCTGCTGTACCCTGGCAGTTGAGAATTCCTGGGGGAATGTATTCACTGTGCTCTGCTAGTCTGCAAACTAATGAGACACGTGATGCAGCCAGGATGGCCTTCTGCTTGAGGGGGCTGAGAACTGAGAGGACGTGTAGATTTCTGCTCAGAAAGCCACCCTATCTCAGCCACTCTCACAAAAATAAATAAATAAATAAATAAAATAAATCACTGAATATTGTGCAAACTTGGAGAATGGGAGGTGAAAAAAAGATGAGGGGGGATTTTCTGATACTTCCCAAACCTCTCTCCTCAACCATCCCCTTACTTAGAAAGCCCTTTGCAGATGCCTTTCTGTCCCCATCTCAGAGTAAAATGATCAGTTTCCTGAAAACCTGTGTAGCTTGCAACTGCTCACATGATCATTATGTTGGCCAGCAAATGCCAGACCTGGGTTTTGTGAAGTGTGGTTAATGAGCCTCCTGCCCTGGAATTTCATGGTAAAAAGGTAGTGTCCTGGGCCCCACCCTGGACCTACTGAATTAGGATTTTCTCATTTTGAATTTCTTTTTATTTCTTCTAGTGGATTTTTTTTAACATTTCAGACAGACAGCAGTATGATACAAACACAATATTTAATGAGGTGGTCAGAGGAATGAACACACACACACACACACACACGGTCACACAGACATCAGTTGTTTCCCACAGCACAGGAAGACCAAATGAGAAGAGAAGGGAAACTCAGTTCACAGGAGTCAGTTCCCCACTTCTCTCTGCCACCTTGGGAGGATTCAAAAGGTGGAATGCAGCGCCACCTGCTGTCCTTTCTATGCATTGCAGGCACCTGTCCGAAGACGCAGCATCTGCCAGCCTGCTCTGCTCTCAGCTTAGTGTGGGCAGCCCGCTGGGGGCCTCAGGGCTGGAGTTTCACTCCAAGGCTCCGTTAGAGCAGATCATACCCCCTGTGCAGAAAAGATAGGCTTTGGGGCAGCAGGAACCAGATATATGGAACACTTACTAAGTAAAATGAACACAAGAGGAGGTGGCGGTCTGAAAGCTAAATTCCACACATCTGTTTGAACGTCTGATGTATATCCGTGCAAGAAGGAACTCACATGAACACACGTGGACATTCTTCAGCGCCTAAGGTGCCCTGCTAAGTGTCCTGAATGTCCGTTAGATCTCCACAGCAGCTGGTCCTGCCACTCCTCACACCTGACGAGCCACCTCCTCCTCCTCGAGGCCTTGGCACTTGCTCTCCCTTCACCTGGCTCTTCCCAAGCCGGTCCCTGGTACACCTGCATGTTATTCAGGTCGCTGCCCCGATGCCACTGCCTCTGGGAAATGGAAAATGTCAAGACACAATTGTTCACAGTATATCATTTCCTCCTGAGTAGGGACAGTACCCAAGTACTTCCCCCTGGGAATACGACTGATGGTTTGGCGGCTTCCAGAAAGAGTGGATTCTCTTCAGAGCTGGGAAGGCGAGCAGAGAGAGCTCCTCCCTCTCCATGCCTCCTCTCTCTTCTTGTGCCTCAGGTCCCCTGGAGCATGTGCACCTGTCTCTGCCCTTCGTCACCACAAAGAACAAAGAGGTCAACGCGACGGCAGTGCTGTGGCCCAGCCAAGTGGGCACCCTCACTTACGTGTGGTGGTACGGGAACAACACAGAGGTGGGTCGCCTTCCATGCAGGGTCTGGGCAGCTCCACTCAAACTGGTTGAAGCCAAATGGAGAATGAAATGGCTTCTGTAACTCAAGAGTCGCGGGTTTGTCGCGGCTTCGGGGACCGCAGGCTCTGAGCGTTCTGCTCACGCCGTCAGTGCGCCCTCCCTGTCCCCCCCTCACCGCTGCACGCCCCCTCTTACCTCTGCCTCCCTCTGAGGCAGTGTCTTCTCCAGCTGGGCTTGACTCTGCGGCGACCCTCAGCAGAAGCCTGGGCTTTCTGCTCTCACAGCTCTGCAGAGACAACCAGCTCTTTCCCAAAAGTTCTGACAGGAGTCCCAGACGGGTAATATCGACCAGGCCTTGATCACGGTGCCGGGGGAAGAAATGGAGCTGTTGACATCAACCTCCCTGGGACCACGTGGGCCAGGAGAAGGGAGGGAGCAGCCTTCAAAAGGAAAAGAGGCCAACGGACACCAGACAGGCAACCACGGGTGTCCATGGCAGCCCTGCCTGCACGTGGCCCCCTCACCCTGGATCAGACTTGGCCTCTTTTTCCCCTCAGCTTTTGTCCCTCTGTTTCCCCTAAACCTCCCCTGTGATCAAAGTCAGCAGCCATTTCAAGACCACCAGTAGGGACCTTAAACCTCACCTCCTTTCAGTCCTCATTTTATAGAGGAGAAAAGAGATGAGGACCCAGCCTCTTTCCGCTGTGTCACACAGGCCAGGTCCAAGGCCTTCTCACACTGCATGGATTTTTCTGCCCCCAACGCCGGGCTGCACACTCTGCTTCAGCTGGGAACACACGCCAGTCTCAGAAGTTAGAATTTGCTCGCTGATGTCAGGGAGGCCGTAGGGCTGGGCCCCGAAGCATCCCTCCGCAGAGGGCTGTGGGCCCCACGGCTCTGGGCCAGAAGACCTGCCCATCCTCAGCAGCATTGCTTTCACCCGGGACGTGGCGCGTCAAAGCAGTGCCTCTTCCGTGAGGACGAGTCTTTTTCTGCCCCAGAGCTGCGTTTGGGCTTTAACTGAATGGCTTCGCACAGTCTCAGGGAGGAGACCTCTCCTGACACCGGGCCTGCTGTCAACCTCGCGGTCGGAGGGACCGCTCACCTCTACCGCGGCTGACAGACGTCAGCAGGAAAGGAGCCCTTTTGTGTTTTTTCTGAAACAGCGCATGTTAATTGGGCCCAGACTGGGCCCACTACCCGCAGTGGAAGAGGAGAAATCTGTGTTACTTGCCTGAAAGCTGGACTCTAGTGCTGGGAGGTGACAGTGCTGAACAACTTGCTTTTTTTTTAGCTTTTGCAGAAAAACAAATTCTCAACTGATTACACTGAGTAGATTTCTTATGCTGTGCTTCAGTCTTCCCTCTGCTACACAGGGAGTTAAATGAATTTTTATTTTAAAACTAATTAAGGAAAGACAGAAAGGCAGTGTTTGTCGGGGCGAGTCGGGGGAGGCCAGCAGACCAGTAACCCTCTCCTCCAGGACCCCGGGTCCAGTTGCATTACAGGCGCTGCTCCAGATCTTTCTGGGGCTTTTTCTCTTTTTTGAGTCCTCAAACCACTCTCCACTTAGTACCTGCTTCCATTCCATAGCAGATCCTTCCAGGAAACCGCTGACAGGACCTCTCAGAGGACGCCAAGCCATACAAGGCCATGCCTGGCTTAACTGGTGGTGTTTTGGTGTCCACGGTGGTTGTATTCCATTGTAATTGTATTTAAAAATGGTACACACTGAAGATAAGTAACTGGAAGCTTATGGACTTTCAGTGACTACTGCTTCAATCTGGATGAATATGAACCCCCTGTTTTGGTCTGATTTTCATGTCACCTTGGATTGAGGGATCTGCTCGATATGAGTAGGTTATCAACAGAGGGAGCTCCATCCCACCCAGCCAGGCGAGACCAATTGATCTCCCCAGCCCTGAATCAGGATGCCAGAAAGTAGGTGTCAAATTCACAAGGAATCAGTAGGGTTTCTTAGGGTCATGCCTCAGAGAGCCCCCTTCTGGTCTGGACCTGAGGTGATGGAGGCGCAGATGAAGGCAGCTGCACTGGGGGGCACCAGAAAGAGCCTCCTCTGATTTCAGTAGCTTGTTGGTGGCTCAGGTCTACTGCCAGTCTCCTCTGTAACGGAGTAGCTTTCCCCTCACTCTGTGCCCTCATGTATTTCAGCCCCTGATCACCTTGGAGGGAAGCATATCATTCAGGTTTACCTCCGAAGGGATGAACACCATCACGGTGCAGGTCTCAGCTGGGAATGCCATCCTGCAAGACACCAAGACCATCGCGGTGTATGGTGAGCGCTCCTTCTTTGCTGCTCCAGTGTTGCCCTGGTGCTCAGATGAGAGGGTTTGGTACCTCGGTGCTGGAGGCCATCCTGGCTTACCACCTCTACCCAGAGAACAGAGGGTCATGGTTGAGAAAGAGCTGAGTCAAGTCTGATCTCCTCCTTTGGGGAAAATAGGGTTCACCAGCAAAATAATGGTCACAAAACTCCAGGAGGGTTTCCTGCTTTGTTTTTCCAGGCTGGCTCTAGTGTCCCTAGAGCGACCACACACTCATCTACCTTAAGGAAGAGTGAGTTTCATTATGTATAAGGCTGATTCATCCCAGTTGGTATTTTGATGGTATTTAAATAGCTCAAACCCACTATAAAATAAAATGGTTAATACTGAGACTTTTTTTAAGTTCAACTTTGAATCTTGATCATGGAGAAAAATCTGCCAATGTCTAAGGGCTCTGAAATCTCTTCCATAAATACATATCATTTAAAAAAAAACACTCTGCTCATTTAAAAGTGATGGAAGAGTCATCACAAGCACATGCCACACATCATCATAGACTAGGTATGAGTTTGAACAAACAGCTGTACAGAACAGTCTTATAATCAATTGGGGAAATTGAATATAGTGAGATTATTACAGGGGATGAGCATTTACTGATGGAAAGGTGGAATCATTGATGGAAAATAAGAGATTTTTTTTAAAAGTTTATACAAATGGAGCTCATCTGGGCAATTTTTTTTCTGCATAGAGAGATAGATGGATCTGCACTTAAGTGCTTTGGTGGATGGTGAAAATGGGAACTTTTATTGTTAATATGAAAGTGGTACAAATGCATCACAGAAGATTAAAACTTAAAAAGCAAGAATTTAAAAGCAGCTAAATAGGGAAATAAATGATGTACAGAGAGAGAGAGAGCAAGAGGGAGGATTGAAGGGAGCGAGGGAGGAAAGGTGAGACAAAGATTGAGAGGGACCAAGAGAGAGAGACACAGTAGCTGGTGGTCCAAGTGATATCAATTGCCCCAGACCCAGAATTAATCGATTCTGAAACAGATTCTGTTTATCATTTCTCATCTTGCCAACTTGACCTTCAAATTCAGAAAGTCATTTGTAAGCATCTTTGAACATGTCTGAAGACACTATTCCTTGCATGGCTACCTGATAGATTTCATCACGTTTCCTCCCCACCCTCTTCCTGAAGGGGCTTGATAAGCCCGAGTTGTAAGTGAAGGTGAACCAGGGCTCTGGTTTTCCTACAAGGTCCCATCAGTGAGGTGACCTCTTAGCCAGGTGCCCCAAATGGAGGAGAAATAAATGCCTTTATTTCTCTTTCTTTCCCCATCCCCTGTCTGTGCTCTGGGAATGCATTTAATCCTCACGACAGCCCTCGTGTCGGGTAGCTGATACAATTACTCTCTTTTTTTTCAGGGAGATAAATCTTTTCGCAGCTAGTAAGTGGTGGAGCTGGGCTTCCCACCCCGCCCATCCAGACCCCAGGCCTGTGCTCTGAAATTACCCTGTATAACTGACTCTCGTGTCTTTTCCACCTAATGGTCTTTTTCCTCTCTCCCTCCTGGATGTCACCGGTATCACTAATGGGCACTGACCCATTAGTCCAACAGATGTCCTCTTGGTTAAGTGTATCAGCTACCTCCTCATCAGAACCATGGAGAGAACTTTAAATCTAGAAGTTCTTTGGACTTACCTGGTCCAACCCATTATGTCACAATGAGGAAATTGTGGCCCCAAAGTGGGAAATCACTGGCTTAAAGTCAATCTGCTGTTCTGTAACAGATCTAATAATAATAATGGTGATGGTAGTGGTCAAAATTAACATAGACAAAGCCCTTACCAGCATCTGTTCTAAGCACTTGATACATATGATCTGTTTGATTGAATCCTGTGAACAAATTTAAAAGAAACATGCTATGATTATCCCTGTTTTACAAGTGAGAAAATGTAAGTATAACGGACAAACAGAGCCAAAGAATTCTGAATCCAGAGGGAATGTGACTAATCACCTTATATCCCCTGCTATGCTTAGTTCTTCCTCCTCCCAAAATCTTTCTAAAGGCATTGTCCCAGAGAGGGTTACTTTCCATCAAATGGGTGATCTTCATTAAAAACTGGCCTCTTCATTAAAAGCTTGAGCCAGCAAAGTGGTCTCCCCCTCCTCTAACCAAATTCCTGAGCCATCAGGCACTTTAATTCATCTTAAGTTGGATGAGTTGTCCAGAGTTTCATATATAATTAGAAAATTTTATCACAGGTGCGACCTATTAAAGGAAAATTGCATTACAGGAAATTAAACAGGCAAGACTGAGCTCAGTGGAAACAAATGGCAGGAGTTCTAGACTCGGACGAGCTAGTGCAAGGGGCTGGAGGACTTTCAGTGGGAGTATCAGTGCATTAGACCACATGTGTTTGCTGATTGGTGCTTAGGGAATTTAGGCTTCTACCCTCTTAGAGGCAGAAGTTCTGTCTTTTTTTTTTATATGTTTGTAAATGGAGGTACTGGGGATTGAATGTGAGACCTCTTCCACACTAAGCATGCGCTCTATGAGCTGAGCTATATCCTCCCCACCCCTTCCCATCTTTCTTGATGATACCATTTCAGAGATGACTCTCAGGTCCTTGAGAAAGGCATTCCTGGGTTGCAGAAGATTTCCATCTCCAAGGTGCCTGCAGGGAAGAATTTACAGTTGCAGGTTTTCTAAAGTCAGTGCTCTAAGAAAAGGGAGGTCAGGTCCCGCCCTCCAGAAGAACCCGGCCTGAAGTTTAATTAAGCTGAGGGGAACTTTGAGACCCTAATGGTCAGACTGAAGGAGGTATCATATTCGAGAAGCTAACTGAGGGAAGATCACTACCCGAAGCCACACAGTAGACTGAGGAAAGAAAATTTAGACTGCACGGTTTTCCTTAGTTTGTTTCAGGGCTCAGGTTTGCCTTTAAATACGAAGAGCAAAATGTAAATGTGTAGAATTCCTCTCCTTCAGCAGCTGCAAGACATACATGTGTTACTGCTGTTTACCGTGTTCAGTCCTCCCACACACATGCCCTATTTGTTGAATAAACTTACGGATAACATGTCTCTGCCCTGCTGGTTAGCCGTCTGAGTAATCAGGGAGAGAGCCGTGCCATTTTTCTCATTTGTGTCTTTTTATTAAGATAAATATCTCTTGTAGATGAAGTCTCCACAGTTTGGTTAAGAGGTTTGGGGAAAGTGAAAATGACATACACGTACATGTTCAAAGTGAAAAGTTAGAACCCAGTGGGTAATTCCTTGGTGCTGCCATTTACCAGGCTACTAATTAACATGCATTTCATTATTCTTCATCGGAAGCGAAGCGGTGATATTCACATAGGTGGCTAGTGACTCATAAATTAGTCAGACTGAAAAATACGTCTTTGGCATAGGCTGGCTGACTGCCTCAAATCCACGCCTTGCAGTGTGACAGTCCCCCAGGCCTGCCCGGGGGAAGGCTTTAGCATGGCTAGGACCTGCACAGGTGGGTTTTGTGTTTCCTACATGTGTAATCGGCCTTGCTGATGTCTCTAAACCCCTTCTGAAACACAAGGACATGCTTAAAAAAAGAAATGTTTATTATTGAATAATAAAGTGCAAAAATTACAGGGGGCCTCCACTGATATTTATGCATTTACTTGTCCAACAAAAAAGTATTAATTAAGTGACTCATGGTCATTGAAAACCTACCATGAACTGGTCCCAAAGGGGCAGGAACACAATATCCCAGTCCTCATTGAACTTACATTCCAGTGTGGGAGGCAGACAAGAAAAACAAAATAATTTAGGGCATCGGTAGAGCTCAGTGGTAGAGTGCATGCTTAGCATGCACAAGGTCCTAGGTTCAATTCCCAGTACTTCCATTAAAAAAAAAGTTTTAAATTAAAGTAATAACAATTTAAATAGCAAGCAGTATGAAGGAGACGAATAGGGTCATATGATAAAGGGTATTAGAGTTGGTGAAAGGGAGGATACCTGAGATTGCTGGTGTGAAGTGCTTCTCCCAGGAGAGACGAAGGCTGAAAAGGAGCCAAACAGGCTGTCGTCTGGGGAAGTGGAGGCATGCTAATATGAGAAGGAACACGGCGGAGTGAGAAACATGGGGAAGGATGGGGTCATGGGGTGCAGGGAACCCTGTGGGACACTAGGCAGGAGAGAAAGTCAGTGCTGGATTGTGTGGGACTATGAAGGCCGTGGTAGGAGTCTTAATCTTCTTCTAAGTACAATGTGGAGCCACCAGCAGATTCCAGGGGAGCGACGTGATCTGAGTGTACCATATGCCAAATGCTGTGCTGAGTTAAGACCCTCAGGGCTGTGCTCTGAAACCCATGACCGTGCTAGGACCTCGGCCAGGCCATCCAGCCAGTGGCTGAGTGCAGTAGGAATACTAAGGGGAACCCTTTCCTGGGACACTGGGCTCCTCCGGCTGACTTTGGCCCAGAGAATTGCCATGAGCCTGGCTGAACCTATCCCCGCCTCTCCCACTACGTGCCATGTATGCATCGCCGTCAGACGGTGCTCCGAGCTCCTCCGTTTTTCTGCCTCATATTCTCTTCTAGACAATTCTCCTCACAGATTCATTACTGTTATCATTCCATTTCCTTCCTGGAGGACCGAGACGAACTCAGGGGCTTCAGAGACAACTAATAAAATCCTTTAATTAAAGAGCTTTAAAATTAAAGAGCACACAAAAACATAGACTGATGACAATCATGATTATGTAATACAGTATGCAATTATAATTACATAAATGTAATTGTGTATAATAGTTGTCATTATTAGATAATGATATTGAAAGTATATGCAAAACACAGCCATGCCCTAAAAAAGAAAACTAAAACATACTGGAGGAGGGTATTCGGTCAATAAATGCTCAAATTAGAGCTTGCGTGTTGGGTGTGGGGAAAGTGGGAAGGGTTGAGTATTCCAGGCAAGAGGCAGTATGTGCAAAGGCCCGGGGACATAAACCTACTATGCGCTGAGGGCACTCCAGGCGTGCACGGTTAAGTGTCCAGGAATGTAGAGGCTGGAACTGGGGACCGTGGACAAGGGCTGTGGAGCTGAGCATGGGCCAGAGCCGAGCGCTTTGCTCTGGAAAATGGGCTGGGAGGTAAGAAGGGTGGGATACTGAATTCTCCCTGTACTAAAGTCTCTCCAGTGAGTATGGAAGAAAAGGACCTTCCATGAGGGCTCGGCATAAAATGTAAAGTGGAACAGACTTCTTGAGAGACCTGACTTTTAGTAATCACACTACTGTGTCTCCCCAGAGGAATTCCGATCTCTCCGCCTGTCTTTTTCTCCAAACCTGGACGACTACAATCCGGACATCCCTGAGTGGAGAAGGGACATCAGCCGTGTCATCAAAAGGTCCCTGGTGGAGGTGAGTGCAGACAGTCCCTCCTCTCACCCAGGCACACTCCCTCCTGTCCCTGCAGAGCCTCAGGGAGAGGGGGCCCTTGTGCAGACATGACAGGAAAGGGCAGGAGGCCACGGGAAGTCAGGCACACCTGTCCGATACCCGCATGGCTGAGCCCCACACGTGCAGACACATCACAGGTGCTATGCAGGGAGGGAAGTTCAATAAACACAGGGTCCTCACCCTTTGTGAATCTTGTTCTGCTTAGAGAATGTGACTGTGGAAATACGTGATAGTCATATGGCAGGTTCATGATTCGCCATGGGTACGTGTAAGATCAGCTGTGGTCATACTACTGAAGGGCACAGTGTGGCTACAGCTAGTAAGAGCGGCCTGGGTTCCAGCCCCACAGACAGCGGGCACAGCAGCACGGAAAGCCCTCAGCACGGGAGGGCTGGCCAGCTTACAGTGTCCCAGTCCTTTCAACAGCATTTCTCTCCTGCAACAGCCCCCAGAGGAAAGGATTATGGTCCTCATTTTGCAGATTAAGCAACTGAAATTCAAAGAGGTTAAGCAACTTGCTTCATGTCTCACAGCCTGATAATTGATGAAGCCACAAAATTGAAGGATCTGAATCCAATGTCTGGGTTTTGACATACGAGGCACAGCCCCGCTCCGATCTTGGGAGAGTAACAAGGCGATGTGGTTCTCCTTCACCGAGCAAGCGTCACCAGCAGTGTGAGGAGACACCTTCGTTTAGGCCCGTTTCCCCCGGCACACTCCGCTTTAATGAACGACCAAAGGAGTGGGGTACCTGCTCATGCTGCTGCTTGGATTATGTCACAAACCCAGAAAATCAGAGACGGGAGACTTTTCCCTAAGCTACATTCTTAGACCAAAGGAAAAGTCAGTTTGGGATTTGTTATACATCCTTTCCTGCCCCAAACATATGGTGCCTCATGACAGATAAAAGCATTCAGATAACCCCTGTTCAGAAAACAGATCTCACGTCCAGCCTTTGGGCAAAGAGCTGGCCTTCCCCTGTTCGGACCATTATCTTTGTTGGTATTTATTTGGGACTTGGAATATTCCAGAAACGCTTCTCAGTGTTTTGCATTTTTAACACATTTAATCACAAAGAAAGCCTAGCTTATGATGTCGATAGTATGATTTGTCCCATTTTACAGGTGAGGAAACTGAACTTAGATAACTTGCCCAAGATCTTACAGTTAAAAATCAGGCCCTGATATGAGACCATTAAGTTTGGATCTCAATTTGGTAGTTTTCTAACCACTCCACTCCACTGCCACCCCTTCCCTTGCCTTGTTACGTGGAGGAACAGGGGTAAGCGGAATCATGGGGTGAAGAAGGGGTATCTTCATGTGCCTCTGGGTAAATGCAATCTCTGTTTTCTTAAGGACTCTCAGCATCCATGATGTTAAGGGTGACTAAACATTGTGACCACCAGGGGGCGCAATCACCAGATTACATGCCCAACTGGAACAGGCCCTCCTGCCCTTGGAGCTGTTTGTCCCTGGAGTGACAACGGCTCTCTCTCCTCTGCTGTCCAGGAGAGATTGCTTATCCCCTTCAATGATCCCACAGCCCACCTCCTTCAGTCTACAGCGGTCTAGGTCCATGTCTCTGTAGACGACCTAAGCAGCTGTCCAATGTCCCCAGGTGATTTATCAACCAGGCCTTAGCTCTGCAGTGATGTTTTCTAGGCTGATTTCTCTTCACCTTTATTGTCTAAGGATCGGATGCCCTGGGCCTCCACCTTTCCACCAGCTGCCCAGTAGGCCAGAAATGACTGCTCATTAATATTCCCAGACTGCCACGTAGCATAGTCAGCTAAATTCAGAACAAACGGGTTGGCTCAACATCCCGCAGGACAAGGTGGGATGGGGTGGAGGGAGTTTTGAAGACTCCTTGGTTACCCAATCTGGAGAGGCAGCTGAGCCAGGCCCTGGTTCCTAGCCTCCCACCGTGTCTTTGAGATCAGTAGTTACACTTGGCCGCTTCCTCATGCCCTGAAGTACCGTATTGCCAAAGGTCCCCTAATAAACCCTGTAAGAGGTGCAGCTGGGGGTCAACTTATTTGTAGCTTTCTTCCTATTCATTCTGTGACAGAATCTGATAGAAAATCAGTTGCATTTTCCTTATCCACTGGGCTTTTTTCTATTGACATTTTGCAACGGAATCTTTAAAAGAATGTCATTTTTGTCAATGATGGTAGTGGTTTAGACATAATCTTTGAGGTTAAAATCTGGGAGGGCCATGAAACGGTGTGGGGTCAGCGGTGACGGGAGCTGCTGTGTAAGTTCAGGAGAAGGAAGGCAGGAGAGCACTGGTTACGAACAGAGGCTTTATGGTCAGACCAAGGTTCCAAACTAAGTGTCACCACTCACTACCCGGGTGGCCTTCCTCCATCAACTGTCTGTCCTGTAGCTGAGACAGATGCACCACCCAGATCCCCATTCAGGGAGAGAAGGTTATCTCAGCTGCCAGAAGTGTTGTGAGCAGAGACTTCAGCTGCCTTGCCCCACATCGTGTTCCTTTCCAGAGTGGTTCATGTCCAATGATGCAGTTACATAAAGGCCTGGCCACTCAGCTCAACCTCAGATAAATCTGAAGGACCCTTGTCACTTACTTGAAGTTCTTCTGAGACTGTGGTTGGCCTTCCTCATAGCCCAACTGTTCCTTGCCTTCACTCCTATACGTGTTGAACCCAGGAAATGTCCCCTAGTAAACACCCCACACGCTAAACTCAGAGCCAACTTCCTGAGAACTCCCAACCTGTGATACATCTTCACTTGCCAAGAGAGGCGTAACAGTACTTGTTCCAAGGAGTCATTGTGGGGGATTGCAGTATATTATATCAAGAAGTTGCTTAGCGCAATGACAGGCACATGGTAAGGACCCAATAAATGGAAATTTCTTGCTATTTCAGAAAAGGTATAAATACAGATTTCAGAAACCAACAATTACCTAATTGGGAAATGATGAAACACATACTGAAATAAGTGGACTTTAAGGGGACTCATGAAGGATCAGTAATGTTCTAGCAGCAGATGTGTGGAGAAGATGTTCTGGGGGAGACAGCATGCACAAAAACATTTGCAAGCAAAGGCTGGAATATTGAGAAATTGTACATGATTCTGTTCGGCTGCGCGTAAGGTGACTGTGTGAGTTGTGGGTGATTAACTTAGGGAGGAAAGATGGGACTCTATTGCAGAAGGCTTTGAACGTATATTTAATCCAGTTGGCAGTGGGAACTTGTGCATGAATTTGAACATGGAAACACAACGTGAGTTGGACTGTAGGAAGATAAATCTGGAGGAAGGATCCTGTCCCTGCACATGGGGAGGCTATTGTAAAACTTGAGGGGAGAAAGTGTAAAGGCTGAATTGAGGTCTTAATTAGGGGAGGGGGACATTTAAACAGACAGGAACTAACAGGATCATTAGTGTGGAGGGTGACTTGTCGAGACCTTATGGACTAATTAGACAGGACACGGAAAGGATGTGAGTGGAAGGCTTCCAGCTAGGGTGTCTGGGAAGAGTGACTCCGGTCATCCACAGGCAGAATGAAGACTTGGGGGATGAATATGAGAAATTCTTTTTCTGCCATATTTGTTAGAAGTCCTAGTAAAACAATCAAGTAATGTTCTGACTGGCTGCTGGAGAGAAGCCATAGATTCCAGAACCATCTAGAGAGTGGCTCAGGAAAGAGGGCGTTCTTGAGTGATAGCTATAATTTTAACAGAAGATTCAGCGGGCCAGAGTGAAAGGCTCAGAGTACTTTCTGGAATGGGCCAATCATCCAGGTCTGACGCTGTGGAGAAGTCAGCAGGTGCCTGAGGGTTGCGGGGTGGGGCGGTTCTGTCAGGTCAGGTTCTGTCACTACGCCCAGTCAATTTGGACATTAAGTCTGGTGCCATGAGGAGGGAGGAAGCTAGGCTGGCAAGTGTTCAGGCACGAAGAGCAGAAGATACAAGTAATCAAGGGCTTTCTCACTGGCACGGTCCACTTACTTTCACAAGGCAAGTGCTGTTGTTATTCCCATTTTTTATTTGAGGGGATGTAGACACAGGTCTCACAGGGATGGAGGTGGCACCAGACCTCAGAGTCTGACTTGTAGCGTGGTGCTGTCTCTCCATCCCTTCCTGCCTGGTGCGCCCAGGACCCAGCTTTCACACTGCACCTCCAGTCCCTTGTGCCTTCTCACCCCTCCCCCCAGCTCCCAAAAGAATCCTTGGTCCCTTGTCATCACCTTTCCTGCAGGACTCAGGTGCACCTCTGTGTCTCTCCCTCAGGCCACGGGGGTTCCAGGCCAGCACATCTTGGTGGCGGTGCTCCCTGGCTTACCTACCGCTGCTGAACTCTTTGTCCTGCCCTATCAGGATCCGACAGGAGAAAACAAGAGGTCACCCGAGGACCTGGAGCAGGTGAGTCCCAGTGATATTTCAGCTTCTCCCAGCAGTCTGAGCCACAGCTCTGCTAGGATCTGACCACACAGCAGCTCTGGGGC